GTCATATTTTTCCTAACACATATGAATCAACCTATATGGTTCAAGTTCACCCATATGTAACATCTTGATTTTCTTAATCCTATGATTAGTTGTTAATTAGGGGTAAAGTGATAATTAGTATAAGATTAGATATTTGGATGATTAGTTGTGATTTTTGTTCTTTGGATGTTGAATGGGCAGATATAGGTGAGAGAATTGCATTTTGGGTCGAAACAAGTGGTCGTGGTGAGGATTCTCCTCATTGTGCCACATGCTGTGGCAAATGCTACCTGTATCGTGGGGCATAGACTAAAAAATGACCCTATAAGTCATGAAATTTGGGTGAATTTTAAAAGAAAAAATCAGAAACACATGAGAAGGAGAAGAAATGAAGTTGAGGTGTGCTAGGGCAAGCTATTTCAAAGCATTAGAAGGCACTTTTGATTAGTAACTTATTGGGTAAGCTACATATAATCCTTACCTTTCATTCTACCTAAATTTTTCTAAATATGAGTTATAGAGAAATTAAATTGAGAAAATTTAAGGGGTTTGATTTTTACCTAATAGTAATAAAAAGATTCTCGGGAGTTAAATTAGAGCTTTACGATTGGTTTAGAGCTAAATAATAGAGCTTTAAACCCGCAGGCTCAATTTAGCCCTAATTTATTGAGATTTTAGGGTGAAAAACGTGTTTGAGAGGAATTAGATCATTTGAGGTAATGTAAAGTGGTGATGAACCTAGAATGGATAAGTAAAAAGGAATGAATAGCCAGCTATAGCCATAGTAATTATGTGCTTTTGGTCAAATTGGACCAATTAACTAAATTGTGCCAATTATGTTACAATTGGCATATTGCACTTATGAGTTGAGAAAATAAGCTTGTGAAGAATTACAAAGGTAATTGAAATTTATGAGTAACCTTTCTAGTAACAAAAGGTTTGAGATAACTGAATAACTTTCTCTATTTGACTATATATTGTAACTATGTGTGAGTATTCTATGTAATGCATGAAATTGTTTTAAACTAAGCATGTTTTGTAGCATTGAATGTTTATTACATAAAAAGATATTTTTGTTAAACAAGTAATGAAATTGTGTAATTTGATATAGAAATGTGTATGTATATATATGAGTAAAGTGGTCAGTGGGAACCTATAATTAATTCGGAAGGCATGATCATAGGGGTGAGGGTTCACGTATGTGGAGCATGGTGACAAGACCATATGAAATATTCTCCTTGGTGCTCAACAGGGTGCGGTGTTGGAGAATTGTATCTTCTTAGTACCTTTTGGGATGTGGTGTTGGATATTATCTTCATAGTACCTATTGAGGTACGGTGTTGGAGATTTAAACTCTTTAATGTCTGTGTGATACGATGTTAGAGTCAACAACTCCCCTTTGTATGTATTGAGGGAAACCATAGTCTGAAAGTGAGATAGAGCACTATTGGTAAGGAGATTCTACTAGTAAAGGTGAGCTCAGGGGCAATGAGAGAGTATATTGGTCTAAGATGAGCCTATAGTTTCAAGTTAGGGTGATTTAGATATTCTGTTAATAGTATTCAAGCTATATGTGAAAAAATAATGAATTATAGAAAATATTAATTTAAAGGTGGTGAAATAATTTATATAAATGAAATTGAAGTGAATACATGATATATGTTTAACTATATATTGTGATAGTTCCCAATAGTGGGTTATTTTGTTATTGATATTTTTATCTCACCCTCCTGGTTACATTTTTACAAGATAGAGCAGTGATCAAGGTAAGGGAAAAGAGTCCAGATCGGCATAGTATTGATGTGACTACGAGACCTCTAAGATTGTGTAATGAACTAAAAACTTAGGTATATATATAAATGAGTTGCCATAGGAGATTGCATGTATATTTGAGTTGTGTTTTGTGGAAAACGCAGGGATTTTTGTAAATCTTAGCCCATATGTAAGAATATGTGATGAAGTAAGTAATTGAGGCTAGGATTGAGTTGTAAATATATTTTGGATGTGTAAAGTAGTGAATTTGTGGTGATATGTGGTAAAAAAGGGCCAAGTGGGCCAAATTATGCCCAAGTTGTGCAATTTTATGTTTTATGAAATTGGGATGTTGAGTGGTCAAATTGTGATATATGTGTGTATTTGCTATATGACTTGGTCAATTAGGTGTGTTAGATTCTTTTGAACTTAGTTCAAGACCTTGTGTAGTCTAATGAGACAATAGGGTCGATTTGAGCACTTGGGTGCATTAAAATTTTTAAAAAGTAATGTTTTACATCTAAGTGTTCAAATTTTGATCAGACCATTAGATTATATCTAAACCTATCTCATTAGCTAGCTTATGAGTTAAGCTTCATGTAGGCATTTGAATCACTCCAATCAGACATTATATATGAAAACTGCGCATGCCAGAAGTTTGTCATTTCTGCTATCAAATGACAACAGTAAATTTAAACTTGTGCGTAGTGGCACATACACAATGAAAATCAAGCATGTGGCTCTTTGCCACATATCGAGCCCATGTATTGCACGCTGCAGCACATGGTCTTCAATGCATTATTTTCACTGCGTATTGCTTGAATATATTATGATTTTGATAATTTTACAAAATAAGTCTTGGGCCCAAGCTTTTCAAACAAAATATTTGATTACTTTGTTATTATTCGTGTAGTGATTTAGTTAATATTCTCCTATATCTAGCAGATATAGGGAAAGGTTACACCATACTCCCAGATTTGGTAATAGATATTCATCCATAGGAGGAGAAATAAATGACTTAGAAGGGGATTCACCCTCTCTAAAATTTATCCTTCTAGTTTTTTCTTCTTTTTATTTTCTTCCTCCTTTCTCTCCATCCATACCAAGCCTTACCTTTCATTTGAATGGGGAGAAAAATAGAGAGGAAGGAAAATTAAGAGGAAAAACTCCTAAAAATAGTTTTAAAAAAATACTATTTTTGAAAAAAATTCTAATTTTCTTCCTACTTTTTTCTCCATCCAAATCAAATCAAAATGTTGTAACAACTAACAAGGGAGGAGAACCATAGTCTATTTTTTAGATATTTGACTTGGTTCATAACAAGAGAGTTGTGAGCCCAGTAGTACTTGTTGAATGAGAAAGCTACTTATTAGGCTTTCAATATTCAAGGTTAGCCCATTGTTTTTAGCTGACTTGTGCATCGCGTTGCATTCCATGTCTTTTTTTTTTTTTGGCCTACTTCACTTGAGTTGTGAGAACTTAAGGGGGTTCAAACTAATCTGGATCAAGGCATGACAAGCATTACAAGAGTTGACACCTTTGGTCACTTATGCTACTACATTCTTAGGATTCAAACTCAACACATCTAGTTAAACTAAAACAATTCTTAGTAATTGATCCAAGCACTTATGATTGCATTCCAGCCTTATTAAACTCAAAAGTGTGTGTGGCCACGTGCGTGCATGCTTCTATTATGAGATTATGTGTGCATGTGTTTTTATTCTAGGATAATATGTGCTATGAAATGAAATTACTTTTGATATTCTCTCGATGTTTGAGATTCATATCTCATCTGTTTCTATTAAAAAAACATACCATGCGAACTACGCATGAGTTTAACAAACATAATCATCTATTCAAAATCATTATCAAACATATAGTGAAATCAACATAATTAAATACGGTAGCCCAATCATCTGCAGTCATTAACTGGTGGCCAATGATGATTGACTAGTCAAAATATTTTTTAAAAAATATTATTACTTTAATGTTTTTAGGCTAAACATCACATATTAACATTTTAATTTACAAGTCAACTTGTTTATATTTACAAGTCAACCTCTTGTAATATTAATACTTGAATATTTACAAATTAAAGTTCACAAATTTAAAAGTTAGACTTGTAAATTAAAATGTTTAACTAGTAAATCTTTGAAATTTAACTTGTAAATTTGCAAAGTTAGCTTGTAAATATCAACTTATTAGCATTGATGGAAGCTGACTTATAAATGTAAGAAGTTTGAGATGTAAATTTTAAAGATTTACTTGTAAATATTAATATTGTAAGATTCACAATTTATGTCTAAATTGCAAATATTAATATTGTACATTTACAATTTATGTCTAAATTGTAAATATTAAAATATGAATAATTTAATAAAATTATTTTTAGTTGGTTAAACAATGGTCCATGGCCGATCAACGGCCATCATCCACAGGATAATGACTACTAATGGTCAGTCAACGCAAGTCAAAGGAGTAGGAAACTAAGGGTATTTGTATCATTTTATATAATAAATTAATTACAATCAAGTCAGATGGAATCTAATTGTATTTTCACAAAATTGTAAGATTTACTTGTAGATAAGTTTCTTGTATAGGACTTATTTGTAATTTTTCCTTATAACTTTGCATATTTGTTTTTTCTTTTTAATATTTTGACAATTGGGTTGCCTTTTCCATTTGAGCCCAAATTGTTATTTTGATAGAGAGCCCAAATTGTTGAATTTGAAATGAATTGAGTATTTTTATTTTTTGGATAAAATAGATTGCATATTTTCTTTCGGCATCGATTTTAAGAACAGTTGGTCTCTTCTTGCAATGACCATTCACAATCGTTTTTAAACTATTGTCCTTGTCCAATTTAAAAATTAAGATTTCGCTCAAGGGATCGAAGATGATTTCGAGGGAAAATTTTAGGGGTTACATCACATGTTGGGCTATCAAATCTTCATTTGATATATATATATATATATATATATAAAAGGAATACTGACATTAAAATACCAAAGCAATTAATTTATAACAATTTAGTCCAAATAAAATTTTCTATAAAATTAATTATAAATATTGATTTAAATAGTTATAAATTTAGAAGTTTTAATTACAAATAAGACATTTAAATTCTAAATATAATCCTCAATTTATAATTAAGATTCACGTTTTGCAATTGTTTGTATCAATATATACAACTTATTTTTAAAAAATTCATCAAGAATCTAACTGTCATAAATTCTCTATTTTCAGACTTTATTGTCATTCTCCCTATATTATATAAGACACATTTGATATTGTTATGCTCATAGGGAATTGTTCACATAAGATTATGGAATCAAGTATATACAAGAAAAACCCAATTATTCATATAAACACAAACTACATTAATTTCAATACAAAAAGGAAAGAGCTATTAGGATTTCATTGGAGAGTTTGGTTTCATTTCTATTCTTTTAAACCCCATTTGCTTCTCCTTTTGCCTGTTATCCTTTCTAACAGTGCTTGAACCTTCTCTTTTGCTTACCTGCAACAACTTGAAAATTGTATAAATCAGTAAAACTTTAATTAGTCCACTAAAAAAGTGACTATTTTCAAGACACACCATCCCCTGATTTTCAAAGTTTGATTTATGCCTTGTTTTGGTTTAGAGATTTAAAAAAAAATAAAACAGAGATGGGAATTAATGGAATGAATAGATATAGAAAAAAGTATGTTTGGTATGTTTAAGTTAAGTGGGATTAATCCCTTTACTGATTGATTAAAGCATCCGGTGATATATCCAGATCGTGTTTTCAGATTTACCAATTGGGTCATTATTTTTACGGGTGAATTGCCAATAGATTTAAGGTGTGTTTGGTTGGAGGGAAATAAAGAGGAGATGAGATTTTAATGAATTTAATTTAAAATAATTGGAGAAATTAGGTGACAAGCTTTTAATTAGTTTTATTTACTCTTATCTTACCCTCTCTCTTTATTAAGATTTTATAAACCCACTTATCCATTTTTGTTTTACATTGAACTCATTAAAACCTCATCTTCCTGCCGCTTGCCTCCATTTCCCTCCAACCAAACAAGGGGATTAGTGTCATAACATAATTAGTGATGTGGCATTGTTATATGATGATAAACTACCCTGAAGAAGGGGATCAAATTTTTGAAATGATTAGGATGAGACTAACAAATAACAATAGCATCATTAAATTAAATTCATACCTTGAAATGCGCTTCCGGGAATTGATAGCTTGGTACAGTTTTCCTCCTTGATACAGTCCTTCTAGTTCTAGCTTTAAGGTTGTTCTTTGCTTTTGTTGCTGCTGGTGGATTAATGAAGTCATGATCATGATCTTTCACTACTACTTCTTGTGAAGTTGAAGAACACTTATCAAATTGATGAAGAGACACTTCATTTGATCCACAACTCTCTTTTTCTTCCCTGCAGGCTACATCTAAAAATCTCTTCCTCACTGCAAATCTATAGTCATGGCTTTCAACTGATGCAGAATCTGGAAGGCGAGTAGCCATCCACCGTTCAAGCCAGCTCCAGCTCATGTTTGGTTCTGCATTGCTGTTATATTTGTTTGGTGTTCTCTTGGAACAGATTCTCAGCTGCAGAGGAAACCAAGATGTTTCAGTAATAGTCCAATACTTCTTCTGTTATGAAGCTAGTTTATGCAAGGGATATGTTATTTTTCAAGACTGAAGGACAGAACAAACGGAGCAAAGAATGATAGTAAGGCACTACATTTAAATTCAAAATTTCAAGGTTCAAGTTTATTAGTCCTTGTCCTTTGTTATATATTAATCATTAAGCTCAACTTTATCCGACGTGAAACTTTTCCACATCAGATCAAGTCTACTTATACTTGAACCTAGTTTTTAAACATTAAACACCATCTCATTTTGGGCTTCACATGCGGATGCAATATGGGCTTCCAGCTTCCAAGCAAAACCTATCCTGAAACATGGGGGAGAATAGATGGGCAAAAAATAGTGATAGGACACACATCTTCACTCAAAACTTCAAGACTCAAATTTATAAGTTTTTCCTCTTCATTTTATATTAATTACGAAGCTTAACTTTATTCTGTGGGACTTCTCATATCAACTCAAGTCCACTCACACTTAAATAACTTAATAGTAATAAATCAAGAATTAAGTAGAATGAGGTTAATATTATCAATATCAAATTGTTGGTTTAGTAAAGTTGTTTTTCAAGTTTTACCTGTTGTGAGAAAGCATATGCTAACGCTCTTTCCCTCCTGGTTGTTGCTTCCATCCTGTTCTGCATCCTCATTTTTGAGACATAGCTACTCACAGTGCTATCATCCCAGTCATCCTGAAAGTGATATGTCATTTTGCAAAACTTCATAAGATTTTGATTGATTGACAGTGAACCAAAGCTGATTTTGATGTATCCCAATCTTTGTAAAGCCCAAAATCTTGAAAATTTCCAACAATATGGTGTAAATATTTTCCGTTGAAATCATAGTGATATTAAAATTTCCCTAGTGCATGATATGGTACATGATTATTAGACACTCAATTACCCTCATCTAATTCTCTGTTTTCTCTTTCATAAAGCACCCGGTATCTTGGGCATCTCCACATCGAGTTGAGGGAAATTTAATGAGACTAGACTACTTTGAATCAAGTTAGGACAAAACCTTTTCAGGCAGAAGCTCTTCCACTAACACTATTGTATTCCTAGAATTTGAACTCAATACTTCTAGTTAAACTAAGTTATATAACTGCCATACCAATTGAACAAAACATCCTATGGTTCTAATCCTTTTTATAATCTTTGTCAACAATTTTATATAAATTAAGAAATTCAGTTAAAGTTAATTACTTTCAAAATTTCAAATTGGCAATGAAGTTCATTCACGAGATGAGATAATTTAGTTGGTTAAAAAATATCAAAGCAAATGATATTTAGAAAAAAAATTATTACTTTTAACAAAAATTCTTGTGTTAAAGAACATATAAGAAAAGGATCGTACTGTCAGAGCTTCTTTTTATGAGTATTAGTGCATTTTGAAAAATGGCAATTGGGTCTCAAAAGGTTAAATTAATGACAATCAAGCCCTCAATAAAATTTTTTAAAAAAGTAGGTTATAAATATCAATTCAAACATTTATAAAATAAAAATTATTGTTACAATCTAAGAGTTACATTTAATATTTAAATACTTATTTTCATTTGAAATTATTAAATTTGTAATTATCTGGATATTTTAACTTATTTTTTAAAAAAATTTGTGAGGAGCCAACTGTTATTCTCCCCCTTTTTTTTGTCTTGATTTACTGAAGTAATTTCTTTGAGCATTTTGCATAACCAAAACTTACAAAAATAAGAATGTGGAAGTGTCTTATAATGGTACCTTTTGCTTTAACACTTGAGCTCTGGCTCTGTGCTGAGATCTATGATGGTAAACACTAATTTTTTCTCCTTCAAGTGGATAAACTTCAATAGAATTCCCAGTTTGAACTTCGATTGATGAGCCCATAGACTTTGTATCTGGACTTGCCATCACTAGATTCTTCTCCTCCTCATCCTCACCAGTAATTTTCTTTCGTATTCCTTCATTTTGACGCCTGCACTGAAATATGCAAAATTCATACAAGTAATGTTAATCAATTGTCAATTTCTCATGCAACCAAACAGATTTTTCATGTATAAGATACATCCTGAGCCCTGCATTAAAAAAAGAAAAAAGCATACATCACGTTAAATCGATATTTTAATTTCATTTTGGTGGTTTTGCAGGTACAGAAATAAAATGTTGACAATGCATGTAATGCGGACTTTGATATTAGGTATGATGAGGCAGTGAAATGCATTGCAATAGAAATTCTGTAAATGGAATTCAAAACTTATTTTATTTCAAGTATGATGAAATATATAATTTTTTTTCAGATTTTTATCGCATAATTCGATCATTATTTATTATTATTTCTATCACCAAAATACTGGCTTGGTTGGTAGTATGAAAAAGTTTTTAATGAAAACAGAAGTGAAAGAGAAAAATAGATAAAAATGAAATTTTAAAATAAGTTTGATATGTATATGAGAGTAAATTACTTTTTATTAAAAAAAAGCAGGAGAAAAGGTGAGTTCCATGAGTATAAAGGTAGAAACGAGCTCCACCAATTTTGATAGAACCGGATTCTTTAGAGAAGTAAAATTTATTGCACCAAACAACCTAATTTTTCAACTCTACTTTCACCCTAGTGGGCTAAGGGAATGATGGAGAGTAACAGGAAGAGTAAAGGTGAGTAAGGCTGCAAATTGACATTGATTTTTTAAAAAATAGAAAACCAAAAAAAAGTATCATTTTTCACATTTTCCCACAATTTTCCACTTACCAAGCAGTCACAGAACTGCAGACCATCAAATTCAAAGCCAAGCACACAAATACATGCTCAAACATGCCAATATTCATTCAAAATTTTGCCCAAATATTTATCTCTTTCATGCATTTTCTTTAATACTAAAAGCAACTATGTATATCAACAAAGATTGAGTCTAATAAAAAAAAAACTAATTTTTCATAATATGATGAATCAAGATTCAAATACTTCATGCTCAAGTAGTAAATTTTATTCTGCAAGTAATCAGAAAAGCCTAATAGTTGTGTGCGCTGACCAGAAAGCCTCTATATGCAGCTTGAATCAGAATTGCTGCTTCCTCTTCACTTAACAGTTTGAAGTTGGAATTTTTCCTATCATTGTTCTCTGTCACAGTTTCTTCTTCACTTTTAGTCTCTTCTCTGCTTAACCAATCCTCCTGAATTGGCTGCATAACTGTCTCCTCCGATCGATTAACCGACGCCGAATCCTCCGCCGCGAGCACTGAATCGAGCTCATCATGATCACCACACAAGTAAGATTTTACAGACACCCATCTTCTCTTCTCCACACCATTGTTATTGCTTCTCACCTATCAGCATTAACAAGAACAGTGTCTGAGTCAGAAATAATGTGAGGTTCATAGAATTAAGAGTTGTTTGATTCATAAAAGAGAGAGAAATTAAAGAAAGACCACTGACTTTGTTTTGAGGATGATGATGATGATGATGATCAGTGGATCGATTTCTGGAGAAGACACTTCTTACAAATTCCCCTGTGAAACCCATCTAAACTATGCAAGTTCATCAGATAAAACTTAGAAAGTCTGTTATGAATAAATGCTTAAATAGATTTGTTGATGAGCTTTATTAAAATATATAGAGTACATTCTCAATTATTGTCACGCTATATATAATAATTAGTGTATTGAAGAAATTTCAAAAGGTTTGATGAAACAACAGTTAACTTTTCCATCATATGAAAAATCCATATGCTAGCTGGCTTGCTTTTGTTCATGAACTTTAGATCAGATAAAAAATTATTCAGGATATGTTTTTTAAATTGTATGATAAGGAATTCTATTGTCATTTCTCTACGAAATATCTAATGCGTGCAATCCTTACATTAGTTGTGCCATTTAACAGGAACAAATTCTAGATCAACCTCTTATTTGAATTTTACTGCCTCCATATCCAATTATAAGATAATTTTGGATATTTGTTGTTATCCCAAAATGTAAGATAATTTGACAAAAATAAAAGGGTTGATAGTTATTTTTATCCCTGAATTGTATACAAAAGGTCATAATGACCTTAAATTTAACAATAGATCAATTATATCCTTCAATTTTAAAGATTCCTTTATCATCATCTACCATTTTCTCATCATTACTTACCCCCACATTATATTTTTTTAATATATTTTTATTATAAAATATTTGAATTAAGAGACAAAAATGATCCTTCTAATAGAAGTTGAGGAAAAAATAACCCTTAACCTGATAAAAATATTTAAAAAAAGTGGGGCCCACTGATGCAACTAACGGAAATATTTTCAAGTTCAGAATAAGGGAAAAATTTTTAAAGTTGAGGGATATAATTAACTTGTAGTTGAGTTTAGAATCATTCGTGACCTTTCATGTATAATTTATAGACAAAACTAACCCTTAATTCAAAATAAAATTTCATTAATAGTGCTTTTTAAATATTATCTTTTAAGTAAAGAGAGAATTAAAATGATTACATTGTAATAATTAGGTGTGTAGATTTAAAGTTATAGGGCATTTTGGAAGTTTATTATTTTTTTAAGTAATTTTTTAAGGTATCATTATTGAACTTTATTGATATGTGCAATTTTATCTCAAATTGTCTTATAATTTAGGATAAATAGCATAGTATTTAAAATAGAGAACACAATTTAATTTCACAAATAAAAAATTAATTAATCTCATTTTAGGACAAAAATATCAGAAAATTTCAAATGAAGACCAAAGGTCTTTTATCGATTTGACTTTTAAAAAACATCTTTTTATTAAAACACTCTTTTTCCATTTTATATTATGAAAAAATGGATATAAATTGTAAAGCAATGTCTAGCAAGTTGTATCATTAGGAAATCAACCCTCGAAATTGTTAGCAGTTTTGGTCAAAATTCTTATTGATATCAAACAAGTAGGACATAATTCTAAGGACTAATTTCCTAATTAAAAAAAATACAGATACCTTGATTAAGATTGATTACAATTCTACTGAACAAAACCATGCTTCCCCTAAAATTAAATTAAAGACTCAAAATCATATAAGCAACCAAAAGATTAATTTTTTTAGCAGAGCTATTATATACTTGTTAGTTCATTTTTTTTTTCTTTTATTCCTCTAACGCAATACATGATTAACATTTATTATATTGATGAATACTCCTCTGACTCTATTTAAATGTAGATGAAGAATATTTATTTTAGTCCTATTTATAAAGCACCTCATTGTTCATCTTTACTTTTTTACCCTTATTAAATTAATACTAGAGTATTTTATGTTTCAAGAAGGGTAAAAGAGTAAATTATCCCTTAAAATATATGTCTAAGAGCATTTGAAAATTTAAACTTATTCTTGGTGCAATATTTTCCTTAACTTTTGAAAAAGGTACAATCTTAATTCCTACTGTTGATAAAAGTTAACTTTAATTAAAAAATGAAAAAAAAGATATCAAAAATTTCAAAAAAAGATCAAAAAAATTTTTTATAATTTTTTGAGTTCTTTACTGTAATTTTTTTTGTCTTTTTCTATAATTTTTAATATTATTTTCTAATCAATTAATAGTTAAAATTAATTTTATTAATGATATTAATTAAATTATATTATTTTTAAAAGTTGGAGAGAAACATTACACTTAAAAATGATTTTAGAATCTCAAATAATCCTGAATCTATAATTCATCAACTAATTTGTTGTTGTTTTACCCTTTGTATATTCAATGGAAAAGCGCATGCTAGCTGGAGATACAAAGTTAGATCATGATGATCTGAGAGCAGGATTTGCTTTTGCAGAGCTGGAAGAACTTAGAGATAGAGATAATGAAGACGGAAGTTAAGAAGAAGGCTGGAAAGAGAGAGAGAGAGAGAAATCAAGAGGATGGATTTGAGAGCTTTTTTGGTTGTTGGCTGCACATGGGGCTGCAGATCATATATAGGCTTTTAAAAAGCCTTGCTTGTTAATGGGGTTATGTCTATTCCTTTCTCTATATTGCTGCTTCCTCTGTCCTTGAGATGCTTCTCTCTCTGGGTCTTCTTTTTTAAAAAAAATAATAATAATAATTTACTTTAGTTATTGCCTCAACCTTTTGGGACACCATAGGACCACGACTTGGAATTTTGCACAAAGAAGAATCACTCTTGTTGCTGGATTGCTTTTTGCTCTGTATATGTTGTAAGAAAAGTTCTGCATTGTAAAAAGGAATGAGGAAGCAGTGTGTCCACTTAAATGCATCTAACTTATCGTTTGATTAATAATGGAAAGGGGTTGCATCGAATGAATTAAAAAAATAAAAAATAAAAATAAGATGAACAAAAAAGATAGGTGAACGAACACATTTATAAGAATAAGGAGTAATTTAGTTCATGAGATTGGAAATCATAATTTATAAGATTTTTGAAAAGTGTAATAATTCTCACATTTATAGTATATATTAATGAATTCTATCATATTTGATATGAGAGAAGGGTGACTTAGTTTATTTTTGTCTTAATTTTTTTCAATTCATTTCATTCTGTTTTAGTAACGATACAAGATCTAATTTTAAGGAGCCTTCAATCTAGTGTTTTAAGGTCTTGACCCGTTTAGATGATCGGATCAATTTAACTCATTAACCCATTTTGAAAATCAGCCATTTTTGGACCATTTTGAATTAAACAGTTTAGATAAAATTAAAATTAACTCAAAACTTAAAATGATTGGATCGTTTTGAATTATTTTTTCTTTTACTCTTATTTTAGTAGTAATAATTTTTATTCAATTTAGTAAAATTAATGTCAACTTCCTCATGAGGCTGCTATAGTAAAAATATTTAAGTACATAATTTATTTATTAGCATTGTATGAATTAAATTGTAGAGGAAATTGAAATCGCATCTGCCTTAGTAGAACAAGATAAATAAAAAAAAATTATACATGTGAAAAAAGTGAAGAAATTAAATTTTAATATTTTATGGCTGAATAACTTTGAATTGGTAATGACATTTTTAGTATTTTAATATTCTATACACACATTATTTTTTATTTAATTATTGTCACCAATTTAACCATTGATCTAATTAACTGAATCACAAGAACCATAATCACTGATCTTCTAGATTTGTTATACGATCTAATTTTTAAAAGATTAATTTTTAAAACATCGCTTCTATCCATACTCAAGTGATCAAGATATTTAATAGAAACCTATATGATGCGTGTGGCATTGTGATTAGGTGTCTATTTACATTAAATATACTTCGATTTATTTTTCAATATTTAACATAATTGACATTAATTATTTTAAAAATTATTTTTTCTTATTTATTTGAGATTTTAAGTTCAAATAAGAGACATTTGTTTTATAATTTTTTAAAGGAAAGTATGGGCTCAATTATGAATAACTGTTTATTGAGGCGCCAACAAAATAAGGTTGAATATAGGGCAAAAATTCTTCGTACGGGTTTGTACCACTGAGAATGGTTGGCCAGAAAAGAAAAGCCATCCTTTGATTACTGAAAGGAAATAGAAATAATTAAAAAAATTACAATAAAAATAAATTAAATTATTATTTTTTTTAAAATAAGCGTGATAAAACTCATTAATATATCTTACAAACAAGAATCATCACACACCCTCCAAAAATATCATGAATTATGATTTCTAACCTCGTAAGTTAAATCATCCTCCTTTTCTATGAATGTGCTCACCTATTATTTTTAATCATATTATTTTTATTTTTATTTTTTAATATATATTCATGTGAGATTCGACAAAGTTTTACGTTGACTATTGAGAACCTAACACAAACTTCCTTCTTTACCGAAACTTAAAACCAGTTATATAAAATAGGCAAAGTTGATATTTTTAAAAGTTTAATAAATGATAAAACACAAAGGCGTCATACAATATATATAACTAACGTCACTTAGTAAAATAAGATTGCTTCTTGTTATTATTATTATTTTTTTAATCCATTCCATTTTATTCCTAAAGTTCTCTAATCTTTCACAACATCAACTAACAACATTTAGTACGAAATTTTTAAAAAGACAAGTTCTTTCAAAATCGAAAATGAACGTAAAAGGCGGGGAAAAAGGCAGGCAAATGCCAAACACAACAAAAGAATAGGATAATTGAGTATCACATTTGTATATTACTTTGTATAATATACAAATTGAATTTTTTTTCCTTTTCACTTGAAGCAAATTAAAAAAGAAAATCACAAAAAGATTGAAAATACTTTTCTTACTTCCTTTCTGTTTTTAATGGACACCAATTTATGTACGGATTCGCATGAAGTTGATTGGCAACTAATAACTTTCAACTAATTCCTCAATTATAATTATAATTCTATAAAATGATAGATGATGAAATTGATTTAATATATAAAGTGTAGCACATTACAAATTAAAAAGAAACTCAGACAAAGAAGGATGAAAATGGGAACCGACAATGGCTGGATCAAGCAAAAGATTTGATTCCCGTATGCGTAAGATTGACAACGAATTAAGTTTCAACTAATTCCATAATGATTGGTTTATATATAGAAGGGTGGCACGTTACAAGTGAAAAAACATTGAACAAAGGAGGATAGATAAAACTGAAAATGGGAACCAACAATGGCCGGATCAAGTAAAAGATTCAAATCCCCTTTACGTAAGAGTGCAGGTTTGATCATACTAAAAAAGACCAAAAAACAAGAGTGCAGGTTTGAAATATGAATTAAAAACATTAGAAAACTTGACCAATTAATATCCAATATCAAATTCTACCATTAATAGTAGTGAAACTATGGACCAATATGGGTTGGGAGAAATATAAATTAAATTGAGTTAACTCATTTTTATGTGAGTTAAAAAAATCCCAACCCAACCCTTGAGAGTTGTCAGATTAAACGACTAATCTATCAACCCATTTATTTTTCTAAATTTATTTTACAAATTTAAAAAATATACCTAAATAATGAATTTCAATTTGATATTCCTCCATCATTCATCTTAAATATACTAAAATATTAATCTATAATACTTATACAAAATATATGAATTGATTTAGTAAGTCTATATTCAATATGATTTATAGCCAAAAAAATTTCCATTTTTTCTTTTTTCTAATTTTTTAAAAAATAATATAGATTAAATAAGCCAACTGTAACATCAAAGTTAGCCCATATAGTCTGCGGGTAGAAAGTTTGAGAAAGAAAAACCCATTTTTATCTACACCATCTTTTTTTCAACCCAACTCAACCCTTATAACTAATTATTCAAGCTAATCTATATAATCTAAACCCTACTCCCAGCTCCAGGTAATAGTAATACGGTATCCCTGTTTAAGAAACCTCAAATGGAGACATCCATAGCACCTTGAATATCTATGTATCTATTAATGGTAATTCCCCTCTACATCTGATTCCAAATACACCGCTTCCTTTTTGAAAAAAAAAAAAAAAAACGAGCCCTTCGTAATTTTAGTCCAATTCCTTTTAAACTTAAAATCTTTCATTCCTTTCAACCCATCTGACTTTCCTAAAATCCATCATTCCTCTCAAACCTGCAACACGCGATAGTAACAAGAGACAGGTGAGACGATGCAGTGGTTTGATGTTTGCAACGACGGACCAAAATATAGTTCAAAATCTGTCACCATCATCTCTGTTTCCCCCTTAAGTTGGTTTCTTCCGTAGTTTGGAGAAAAAAGATGGACTCTTCAACATAAATCAATGGGAAGGTAGGATTCCCCCCCCCCCCCCAAAAAATCACATTCAATGATTAAGATATGCTAAAAAAAACATCATCGTTTTAATAAGTAAGCTAATCTATACCGTCCCCTAAACCAATGGCTTAGATCTTTTAAATGTAGAGAAGTACCATTAGTAAATGTAGACATTTAGGTTCTTGCGATGGAGCTTGAATTACCGGAAGATATGGTTCGAGACAGACTCGACTCTAGCACTGTATGTTCAACTAGGACGGTTGTGATAAATCATCACAAATCAAACTATGCCTACCAATTATACTAATAGGGGTTGGATTTAGTATTAAAAAAAAAAAAAAACTAGTCCTTACAACATGGCAAATCAAGGTTCGAATTTCCACCGTGCCCACATTTAGTACCAACTATATCTTGAATAAAATTGCCTCCAATAGAAGAGTATGTATGAAAAATTGAAAAGGGGAACCTTATGTCTACCGACCCTAATGCAAATTGACAATTCACGGCTAAATAAACTACGGTACCAGGTTTAGGTGCAGCCTGTAGTTATGCTCAAAATCACAACTAGCGGTGATTTTTTGCACTAACCATGGCTATTTTATCGGGGGTTTCAAGATCAAATCAACATCCATATCATTTCAAGAAAAAGCACAAACACATCAATCCAATTATATTCCAGATCGGTGATTTCATATCTATTTAATGTAACACAATACTTGTTGGAAAGTTCAATATGAAGCAATTAAGATGACAACCAACTACCATGAACCTGGAGCACCAGCCGACGGGTCCTTGAATGCCGAGAAGTCCCAGTAAGTTTTCAGAGAGAACGGTGGGAAAACAGTACAGCCTTCCTCCGTTATTTTAGCTATCTGCAAATTTTTACATCACAAGTTTTGTAAATACTCTCGTACAGTCATAGATAATAGACTCAAATAAATGAAGGAAACAAAATTGAAGTCATGATCTTGGCCTTAAAATTGGATCCACATGACAGATTCTATAAACATAGGGTTAAGATGCAAAAATACCCACTATTTTTTTCTCCAAGAACTTCCAAAATCCTTAAGTCAACAATAGTGCATGAATACTTATTAACTTTAACTTTATAAAAGAGATCAATCTTCCCCAATCTATTAAGTTCAACCCTCAGAACTTAAGGGTCAACATTAGGTTATTTTAAAGGATTGGAAAAATTTGACCTCTATTGAAAGGTTAACAGGTACCCATGCATCAGTGTTCACTTAAGGATACCAGAAGCTCTTGAAAAAAGTTTTTGGATATTTTTATACCTCAATCCAAAAATTCTACACCACCAGACTAGGAACATATAAAAAGAACTTTATTTACCGGTCTTGTTGACCATACAAAATAATGAGATGCAAGATAATGAATAATTTTTTTGGGGGAAAAAAAGTCCTATAAAAAGACCGGTATACTTCCTATGGATATTCCTCCCCTTACGTTTTTTCTAGCGAAAAACTTGTTAGCATGTATAATATTGGGCTCTAATTCTATAACAATTGCTGGGACTGATATAATCTTTATAAAGCATTGATATAATGATCACTACATATAAATCATTACAAATCAGTATGCTTTCACAAATTATAACCTTGCCCCTTTATCCTGCATCACAAATCACTATAGCAGAATAATGCTCTTACTTTATCGCATACCATTGTCCCTTCTCTCCTCACAGTACAGGATCCTAAGGCCAGTTAGGAATCCTGGAGAGAATCATGATTTAATGCCCCCTCCCTCGCCTTCTCAAATTCTATTGATAACCAAAACTAATCAGAACTCTAGAAATTATCAGTAGACTTTAAAAGAGACAGCTATCTAGAAAAATATATCTGAAGTGTCAAATATATAAGAATTCTATCAACCCACTGATGGAGAGAAAAAACCATAGGAACATGTGTAAATTGATGAAAATATTGGGATGAACATGGTGCCCTGCAAACGGTCATTGGTATGCTAGTGCTGAGTGATGGACTAACAGTGCTACTAACAGTTATAAGTTGATAAGAGGCCAATGATTAGATATAACAGGAGCAAAACTTGTGGAAACGTGGCAGATAGTGAGCTGTGTTCAACTATGGATATAATGGGCAGAGAAGAAAGTTGATATAATGGGAGAGAACACAGGCACCATGTTATATAATTGTAAATATGAGTAGAATTAGTTATAAAACTAGCCGTTAGGTTAGTCATAGAGAGATAGCCATTGGGATTACATTAGAAGCCTATAAATAACTATGATCCTATTGTAATCTGTATGCTAGTCATCAATAATAGATCTGCATACTATTGAGTACCTCTCTTGTCTCTCTGATTCTCTCATTCCTTTCTGTTCTCTCCAATCCTCTCTATTTTTCTCTCTCTTTCAGAATTATTCTTCTATAACACACCACATCACCTGTGATGGAGCATAACACCCATTTAGTACCACTTACATCACTTTGCATGTTTTATGGTTTAGGTTATTTAAAATTAAATTTTTTTAAATCCTTGCACTGTAAAGAGCTATCTCTAGGTGCTTTATGGGCAGCTTGAACTTATTTTCATTCCTTGTAGAAGAGAGATTTCCCTGAGTATTAGAGCCTGTGAGTGAGGCCCTTGCTCATATTTCTGTAATAGATTTTTCTTTCAATAAAATATGTAGTTTCATATCCTACATTCCCCACAAGTTCAAATAGAATTTTAGAGATTTCACTCATGGTGCTATGGGTCGGGGAATGGAAGAGAATCTTGTACAAGAATAAAGCACCTGAATCTTGTTGACAGCAGACCTATCTCGATACAAGAGCACACGCATGCATTTTTCCAGTAATTTAACACCTTCTTCAAAGGTCAAATTTTCATTCCATTCATCACGAAGAATTGGCCTAGCCAAATGATTTCCAAGCCCTGTTGCTACATGGTTATCTTCGAAATTAACACCAATCATGGTAACCTGGAAAAAATTCATAGGTACAAAAACTGAGTAAATCCTAATCCCTGTAGATAACTTAAAGTGGAGTCAAATAAAAAGATAAAAAACAGGATACCATGCCAAGATACTTCTGCCCGTTTTTAATACCACCAAGTACAAGCGAGTTCCACAGTGGATTAAATTTGTTACGCCTATTATACATCACACGAGTCAAGTAATTGTGCACCTCCTTAGGACCCAAGGAATTCCCATCGTCCCACATGTTGTCATACAGGCTGGAGCAGTCAAAACCCAAAACCAACAATTACATGAAAATGTTAATTGATCATAGAAGAATGTAAAGGATTTTTTTTTTTTTTTTTGGGGGGGGGGGGAGGGCAAGGGGAAAAAGAAGTGGAATCAAATAAATTAGCCAACACGACCAATGGAAAGAAGAAAAGCGCACACAAAAAGTTTAACAGCTCCTTCTATCCTTCTTTCATATTAAATATTAAGGGCTTACATAAGTTCATCAAGGTAGCGAAGAATCTCCTGAAAATCACTGATTTCCCCACTGGCACCAAGAAGAGTATGTTTTCCAACAGGCTTCAAACGTTCAATGCTCTTGTATCGCAGGGTAGACCCATAGGAACCTACCCTTGGGAAACCATCATTAGCATGAGATATACAGACTACAGAATGAAGCGTTTATTCTAAAAGTTCAACTTCACAGAGCAGGCAGTTATGATCAGAACTTCTAAAAAGATCGTGCCTTAAAGAAACCCAGAAAAACATTTTAATCAAGTTTAAAAGCCATTAATATTTTGCATGAAGATATGCAATGAAATTCATAGTACATGAAATCAGAAGTAGCAATCCTCACTTTAAAAGTAGTATGTCAGGAAATTTCCACAAATAGTCATGCCAACAAGAACCACAGCACAATAGTCAACATAAAGAAGGTTTATCTTTTATTTTAACCGATGTATAAAAAATCATATTAAATGAACAAAAATAAGCTTCAATTCCATCAAATAAGCTTAAGTTTATCCAATCTAACCCAATGTGCTTCTATTTGATGATAACAAAGAACACATTAACGCCAAATATTTGCACAGCAAAGCATTAATTCAAATGATCAAGCATACAGTGAAGCTGCAATATAGTATGAATGGGCATACAATAAATTTGTAAGTTGCAACTAACCTCCCATATCAGCAGCCATAAGAATCCCATCTTTGTATTTGATGGCAACAACTGATGATCCAGTTACATAAGGGTACCTAACAATGAAAGGGGGAAATAGGAATACCACTAAGCCTTCACAACAAAAATAACTTTTTCATGACTTCATAGTTCAATGTTTAAATGAAAATAAGTTCTCTGGTTCAGCACTGCTCGAATCCTAAAATCTGTATATCTCTAATACTTTTTTTTGGGGGTGGGGGGGTTTGAGAGAGAGAGAGAGGACATACAGAGTTCTCTCTGATTCAGCCACGGAGCCCATGATGCTTGGGGTGTTTGGACTGTAAGAGAAAAGAGAAGATCACAAGTTATTGGTTAAACAGAGTATCATTTTTCATACACCAGCTTAAATTAAAAAGTATATAAAAAACACTACCTAAATTCATTAATTTCATATTTTTAAACAAAAAATTAAGAACACTGGAATAATCAACAATATAATGTAATTCAAATACATTCATTTCAAAAACACACTCGTTCATGGCCACCTGAATGCCAATCCGACTTATAGGCTCATCACAAAAATACTAAACAGGAATTAAATTATTATACAATTACTCATTTCTGCACTAACACTCCTACAACACTTAATCATGATCTTCCAGTTTGCTTCAAATTTAGCGAGTGATTGAGCTTTGGACATAATGACATAAATTCTGAAATTCTGCCTGGTGACATAGTAATTGGGCTCAAGATGGTTTTCCAGTTATTAACAGGATGGAGGGGCCCTTCCTATCCTCACCATTACACTCAGCAATTTTGAGAAATATTGACACATGTGAAAGGCTTATTTTACTGAAAGGGTCATTGATTTGGCAAATAATAGGGCAGGTTTACTATTGACCTTCTAAAGCACTACCTGGCTTTCAGCTTAGTGAGAAGGAGAACAAAATTCAATGAGTGGGGCATAGAAAACTGTTGCTCCAGGGAACCTCTAGAAATAAAAGCTATGACCCAGGCAGCTAAGTGGGAGAGGGGGAAACCTAAGCTGAAATTGAAAGTTAGCTGAGACAAGTGAGCAGCAATAGAAGGAATTTGAAGCGCTGTATCAGGAATTTTCTGCAGTTTTTCAAACACTGACAAGGCACCACTACTCACATAAAGTAGAAAAAAGAGGAATCGTGACTGGCTTGGAGCTCAAATATTTCTGCTGTATTTTATTATTTTCAGTTATTTATTTTTGTTGAACATGTCCTAGCTTTCAAGAGGTAGTTATTATTTTATTAAGTCTGTTTTATTCAGTTTGTCCACTAAGTCTGAAATTCAGGGAAGTGGGTAGTTTTCTAGAGTCTTCAGTTATTTTCCAGTCTATTTATATGGCTTGCTCGTCTATCAAAAGGATTCAAAATTAATCAAGATTTTTTAGTTTTTGGAGATACTGCTTGACTTGGCTACCATTTTCTTTGAGCGAGATACTTACTTATGAGAAACTGGTAGATTAACTCTCTTACCCTTGACCCAACCATTTGGTATCCGAGCTAAGTTACGAGATGGTTTCCACACGCTCCTCCGACCCACAACAAACTAACCTTCCCGATGCCCTTGCCCACCAACTATCTAAGATGGTTGCCCAGTTAGGACAACTTAACACAGAGATAGCTGCTCTTAAGGCCTCTCACAGTGAATCTCACGTTGAAGGAAGCAATAAAGACAAAGGCAAGACACATGTTCGTGCCTCTGAGGAAGAAGATGATTGTGACACACCTTGGTGGCTGAAAAATCCCTCAAGGCGACCATCTACAAAAATCGAATTTCCCAAATTCGAAGGTGGTGACCCAAGAGGATGGACTGAAGGCCAAAAAATATTTGCAGTATTATCAAACACCAGATGAATTGAAAGTAGATATTGCAGCTATGTACCTTGAAGGAGATGCACTAAATCTCTTTGCTTGGATCAACACTGAACGAACCTTGCTTTACTTGGAAGAACTCATGAAAGTGCTTCAAGAGCACTATGGCCCTACTAAATTTCAGAACCCAAACAAGCATCTCTATGGCATCAAGCATACTAGAACAGTTGCAAGAATATAGGCAAGAGTTTGCTAAGAGATCCGCACGCGGGAAAAACTAGCCTGAACACTGTCTCTTAGGTGTATTCTTGAATGGACTGAAAGAAGAGTTGAAGGCAGATGTCCAAATTCAGAAGCCACACTCGATATACAAAGCAATGAACCTTGTGATTGAATATGAAGCCAAAAACCTACTAGGTCGTGAGCCGGAAATGGGTGGGTTCCCCAACCCGACCCAAATCCAACCCAACTTCCCTATCTCTGGCCGAGACGCATGCGTTAGTGTAACGCGATTTATGCTTCCCTCAAATGCACATTCAGTCGCGACTTTTGCTGCATCTTTGTCTCACCCAAACGTGACACCAAGCTCCTGGGATATAGAGAAGCAAACACGAGGGGAAAAGGCTTATGTTTTAAGTGTGGTGAAAAGTTCATGCCTGGGCATCGCTGCAAAACAGGGATGTTGAAAATCATGGAAGTAGATGAAGAAGGTGACCCTGCTTGTGCGATCGAGTCTATTGAGGAAGAGGAGACTGAAAACGATGAGCTGTAGGCCAAAATCTCTCTCCACGCCATTCTAGGGAAGAACTCGGCTTCCACTATGAAGCTTCAAGGTACGTTGCAGCAGCGAGAAATCACCATACTAGTTGACAGTGGTTCGACTCATAACTTTGTGAGAGAATCATAGGTTGCTGAACTCAAATTGCCTACTCAAACCACTCCACCCTTTGGCATTCAGATTGGGGATGGCTGTTTAATTCGCTGCAGCCAAGTTTATAAGCAATTATATGTGCAAGTTCAAGATTTAAAGATTGTGGGTGATTTTTTCCCTTTTTCTCTTGCTGGTTCAAACATGGTTCTTGGCATTCAATGGCTAGCTTCATTGAAAACAATACAAGCCAATTGGCAGCAAATGTTTATGATTTTTTTGGTTAATGGAAAAAGGTATAAATTGCAAGTAGTGCCTCGGGAGACTACTCAAAAGGCAGAATTTAATGTGTTTAATGTGTTGACTAAGCAGGAGGGTCTTAAAGGGAGTCTCCAATATAAACTTACAAATATTGAGGGGCTACTTCAGGATTACAAAGATGTATTTACAGAACCTACTACAGTGCCTCCTCTCCAAACACACTCGCATGCCATTATTCTACATCCAAGTTCTCAACCTCCCAACATCAGGCCATACAAATATCCTTACTTCCAGAAGGATAAAATCGAGAGGCAAGTTGCTGAATTGTTAGCTAAAGGGTTTATCCAACCTAGCTTAAGCACTTTTGCAAGTCCTGTTCTGCTAGTAAAGAAGAAGGACAACTCGTGGAGGATGTGCATAGACTATTGAGAACTCAATCGCATTACGGTTCCCAATAAGTATCCTATTCCTAATGTGGATGCATTGCTTGATGAATTACACGATGCTGCCTACTTTTCAAAAATTGATCTTCGTTCGGGGTATCATCAAATCTGGGTCAATCCTCCAGACATTCCCAAGACAGCTTTTCAGACACATTCAGGTCATTATGAATTCACCGTTATGCCCTTTGGACTCACTAATGCTCCATCAACTATTCAGTCGATAATGAATGACCTCTTTCGTCCTCATTTAAGACATCTTGGTTTTCTTTGATGATATATTGGTTTACAGCCCCTCTTTACATCTGCATAAGCTTCATTTGGAGACAATTTTGGACTTATTACGCACTAGTGCTTTCTTTGCTCATGCTAAGAAGTGCTCATTTGGCTACCAACAAGTCAATTTTCTTGGCCACATTGTATCACAAGCAGGTGTTGGGGTTGATCCTGAAAAAATTGATTCTGTTAAGCAATGGCCCTCTTCTACAACAGTCAAGGAGCTCCGAAGATTTCTAGGACTCACTGGCTATTATAGGAGGTTTGTGAAGAATTATGGAGTCATTGCCAAGCCATTCACAGATCTCACCAAGAAGGATGCTTTTTGTTGGAATGAACAAGCTGAGGAGGCTTTCTAAAAGCTCAAAGGGGCATTAACCACTATTCCAGTTCTTCACTTGCCCAATTTTTCTCAACCATTTACTGTTGAATGTGATGCCTCTATGGAAGGTGTTGGTGCAGTCCTCATGCAACAAGATCATCTAGTAGCATACTTTAGTAAGGGTTTTTCCCCTTCTAATCGATACAAATCTGCCTATGATAGAGAATTATTGGCTCTTATTCTTGCTGTTCAGAAATGGAAACATTATTTGATTAGGCATCATTTTTACGTTAAAACTGACCATAGCAGTTTAAGACATCTCTTGGAGCAGCGTATTACCACTAATTCACAACAAAGGCTTATCTTGAAGCTAATGCCTTTTGACTTCACCATTCTGCATAAGGCAGAAAAGGAGAATATGGCTGCAGATGCCCTTTCTCGAAAAGAACATCAAGCTGAATTCTTCAACTTATCTATAGCTGTGCCCTTGGATTTTTCTAAATTGCAAGCAGCATTGTTACAAGACCCTTACACTCAGGCCATCATTTCTAATTTACAACGAGATGGTAATTCTAGGCCAAATTTTCAATGGTCAGCCAACAAGCTTTTTCACAAAGGCAAATTGGTGATCCCTTCTGTAAACAACCTGCGTGCTACTCTTCCACAAGAAGCACATGAAACCCCTACAGGAGGTCATGGTGGTTATTTGAAAACATTTAAGAGGCTTACTGATCAGTTTTATTGGCCTCAAATGAAGAGGGATGTGAAGTTGTATGTTCAGTAATGCTTGATTTGCCAACAAAACAAATATGAGACTCTTGCTCCCGTAGGTTTGCTACAGCCCCTGCCAATTCCAAGACAAATTTGGGAAGACATCTCTATTGACTTTATCATTGGTCTCACCAAATCACAAGGAGTCGATACTATACTTGTAGTAGTTGATCGATTAAGCAAATATAGCCACTTCTTGCCACTCTCTCATCCCTATTCCGCAAAAATTGTGGATGGAATTTTTTGCAAGGAAATTGTTCGTCTTCATAGCATGCCCCACTTAATTGATTCAGACAAGGATTCCATTTTCCTTAGTTCTTTTTCACAAGAATTATTTCGTCTTAGCCAAACTAAGTTGAAGATGAGCATCTTTTATCACCCACAGACGGATGGCTAAACCGAAGAGGTTAATAGGTGCTTGGAAGCTTACCTTCATTGTTTTGCTCATGAACAGCCAAGGAAATGGAGTGCTTATTTATGTTGGGCGGAATACTCTTACAACACTGGATTCCATGTGTCCTCAGGTACTACAACCTTCAAGGTAGTCTATGGTAGAGATACCCCCCCTTTACACCCATTT